AAACAAGCCAATCTTTTCTTAAGGTTATTTTACAGTTGTATTAACTTCCAAAAATCTTTCAAGGATTCTGTAAAATCCCACTAATCTTTGATGTTAACAAAACCAATTTCATTATTAGCAGGCATTCTTCAAACCCACAATGTACATCGCTATCATAGAATGTAAGACAAAGGATACAAGTGATAGGACCCTTACAGATCTCTGAGATACCTACAGTTAATGATCATATCTTCAGCTTAATCTTCTTTGTTCATTGGAGATTCCATATGGACAGATATAAAGCAGTATGTTGTTCTAGAAAGACAAACATAGACCCTGTTAAAATAGCTTTGTTTGCCCAAGCCACACCTGTGCTTTCTTAAACAGTTCTTCCAACAAACATGACGTTGGCAACACATAATTGCACAGTATGACCTTGTATCAAAACATGATTTGCCCTCAAACACTGAGGTGATTTCTCTAGTGATTTCTGCTTCTTCTAAACTTATGTTCAATTATTTGTCTGTGAAAGCTATTTAAGAAGTCAATCATTGGCATGTAAGCAGTGTTATAGGCAAATCAGAAGTTTAACAGTCCCCTGATGTGCATTCCAAATGGATATGGGATTACAGAGGTTCAAGAGCAGCCTTTTTTAGCATATATTTTGAAATGCTCCTTGAAAATTGATCTTTCCAGAGCAAGCACAAGTATGTGAAGAGAAGAAACAAGCTTTCCCACATTATGCAAATGCCCACCCAAGTCAGAGAATGTCACTTCACTTCTGGAGCTGAGAGGGTTTGCACATTTGAACTTCACAGAGTTCAGATCACCTCTCTGTCCTTTTCTTTCCTTCTCAGTAATTAATCTTAACTGTGGCATTGTAACTCTAAGATACATATGAGCAAGTGCATACAAAATCAATCTTCACTTAGGTTTTCTTCGGATTTTTTTCCTCTTTCTATTCCTCCCACTAATGAATAGGTTATGACATTTAAATGTGCTTATGTGTGGGGTTCAACTCAGTCATTTTTAGAGGTTAAAGAATCATTTCAAATACAGGCTGTGGCAAACGAGTCCTGTGACTGAGACAAACTCTTCTAAGTACAGTTTCTGTTCAGTGTCATTCCAGTTGCAGAAAAAATAAACACATCTGTGGAGTAAGAAAACTTTTTTTTTTACTGACAGTAGGACTAACATTTACAATGACTAATGCATAGGCATTGTACAAACATAAAATTACACTTTTATTTTAAAATATTTTAAAATCCAAACAAACAAATGAGAGGAGAGCCAAAGTCTAATTTTTATAACAAATTGCAAACACACTTCAGCAAGACATCACACTCCATAAAGCATACATGGAAAAGCCTGGTAGTGATAGAACAGCTTGCTTTCACCTCCCTTGGTGGAAAAGAATTAGATTGAACTCCAACAAAGATGTGTAGTGAAAACAGGTATTTTTTGTTCTTTGTCTGGGCTGATTTGTTTTGATTAGGCTTCAGAAACATCTGTGTCCTTGTATATTCATTTAGACCAAATATATGGGGTTTTTTCATTGTAAAGATGAGAACTGAGGCAGAGATGAGTTTCTTCTGCTACAGAAAAGAAACATGTAGGAAGTAGAAGGGGTGAGCTCCAAATAGACAGTTGTTCTGTTCCTGTTGTGGGTGAGGGATGGGATTGTCAACTACTACTACTGAAAAAACAATATATACACACTTTTCCTGCTCCACCTGTGACAGCCAGACTGATTTTCTGGGGTAATAACATGAGCAAAGGAGGCATTTAGGGCTATAATATCCTACAAGTCTTCTGGTAAGTGTTAGCCTAAATCCTTCAGTGAAACTGTAATTTCAGTAAAGTCACTGGGAGCTTTCTCACTGACTTGCAGGGAGATAGAATTTCATGCATATTTTGAAGATTTTGGCTTTGAGATGAAAAGCAAACACTAACAAAAACAGGAAGGTATAAAATCACTGTTTATTTGACAATGGCTCCTTTGTGTGGAACTGTCTCTACAGTAGAATGGGACAAAATAAAATAAAATTAAATGGAAGAAAGATGATTTTTTTTTTTTTCTCCTGCACCAGTTAGCTAGGCTGAACATGTAGAGCTGGAGGAAACTGCACTATCATAAAAACTACACAAGTAGTTCTCTGAGATGCTTTTTGGAACATTTGCCCTCTGTCAGGACAAAGTTTTTGGGAACATGATTATGAGAACTCAAGAGGGACTGACTGAAGCAACAGTGGGCTTGGAGGCTATGTCAAAGTATGTAATAATCTATTCAATCTTGAAAGGCTGCTATTAAAAATGGAGAAAATAAAATGTAACATGAATATGACAGATCTGAAGAACTGCCTACATTTTTTCATAAGTTAGTGAAATGCCTATTTTTGTTAAGGTAAATACTGCTTATTTTTTTCTTTCCTGAGTGGGAAACATTTCATCCTTTCAGATTTTTAACAAATAAAATTTCTCCCATATTTTTCTAATTCGGTGAGAATCTACTGACGTGAAGATTTATACATATGAATTTTCCAAAGTTACTAAGTGAAATAAACAAAAGGGCTATTGATACCTGATAATTTATTTAAAACAAGTAGAAGTCCTCAAATTCTTCTGTAGTTGACCTGCACAGTGAGACATTTAAGCAGGTAAAATTACAGAAAAGTAAAATCATTTGAACTCACAAGTAAGACATTAAAACAAAATAATTTGTAATGAGCCATCAAAAAAAAAAAAAAAATCCATTATTTTAATCTTCACTTCTATTATCATTGTGTTATGCCATGAAATTACAAGCAACAAGTTTAACACATTAACTTCTATGGAACCTTTACAAAATTTTTTGTTTGTTTATTTTAACACTGAATGTTAGAATATAATTACAGTATATTAATGTAATAGCTCAAAATGCTTCAGTGTGTCATTCAAAAGATTAGCTTTATGGAAATAAAACAGAGCTTACTTCAGATTTCAGAATCAAGACTTTACAGGCCATTTATCCTGTGAAATGTAAAACTATCTTGGAGTAGTTTGGACAGTATCTTTGGTTACTATGACCACTGGGCTTCTGAAGTAATAGCTCTGGACCCTTGCATATATTAAGAAAAATGTCATCCTGATAGCTGGATGGATGGCTTTTTTTGCATTATTACTTTATATCAGACAAGAAGAAACCTCAGACCTGCAACTATCAATTAAATGTGTAAGATAGATGTGTCATTGTTAGTTTTTTGGTGGAAAGGGCAGGTATGAATTTTAAAGAAAGCAGTGTTCACATCTCTTCAAACAAAATCAAAGCCTTTAAAATTTCAGATGAATCCACATCTTGAATAGAAGCATGGATAAGACTAATTCCATGAAAGCATAGGAAAACTCATAGAAACCATGACAATCTTTCAAATCCAAGAGAGCATTCACAGGATGAGGAGGGTGACAGGTGCCAGTCAGGAATTTAGCAATGGCTAGGCAGGCCCAGGTTCAAGCTGGGATGTCATGGCTGGCATCAACAAGTCAGGTGACCTTGTGTAGAACACCTATGTGCAGCTGTAAGGAACTGAAATAATCAATGCCTCAAACATTCCTGGACACAGGAAGGATCAAGGACAAGTTGTAGCCTTTGTGATTAATCTAAAGAATGCTGCCCAGGAAAGGGTGGAGTGTATCAAAGGATGCACAGCTCCTTTTCCTTGCTGATATAGTGCTAAATTCCTTAGATAAACCTCAAAAAAAAGACTTAGAAGCTAAAGGCTGAACAATTACCCAAGAAGAAAAAAACAGAGGAACAAGTAAAGGTGATAGGATGGAACAAGAGTTCGTGGAATACCTGCCTCTCTGTTAAGATGCTAATCAGCTGATAAGATGAACTTAAAAAGTGGCATAAAACTTTGCTCTGTGTGCATCTACCACCCAAGCTTTCCAGACCTGAGACAACACTGGAGTCTGAGGTGGTGACGGGACTCTTTCCCTCTCCTTTCCTTTCTTTTTCTTTTATTTCCTTTCTTTTCTTTCTTACAGATTTATCAATAAGAGACCACACTGATTACTATCCTTTTCCAAGTTTAAGCTGTTTTTACTTGTGGTTTGAGCCTGGTTGGCAGCCAACCACCCTGCAGTGAATCACCCACCCTTCCCCCCCTACCTGGGAATGGGGGAGGGAATTGGAGGGGTAAAGGGAGACTTGCAGGCTGAGATAGAAACAGTTTAATAATGGTAATAAAATGAGAACAATTACAGTAATAGAAAATATAAACAGGCAATGCACAATGTAATTGCTCACCACCCGCTGACCAATACCCAGCCCATTCCCAGCTAGCTATCCCAAACTACCAAGATCCTGCAATCACAATCCCAGTGACGTGCGGAAAACAGACTCCACAATCTGATAGATTGTAAAGCAGGTATGTTTATTCAGCGCTGGGCACACAGGGGATCACTCCTCCGAATATGTGTGCTACCATGTGGCACCGTTGCCTTAGATTTATAGAGCAAATGATTACATATTCATAATATTTCACAATACGCCTATACATATGCATCACCTATCCCCGCTTCGTATTAAAATTAGCATTTCCATGATCTCCTCCCAGTTGAGTCTGCGCAGTGAGTTCCTTTGGTCCTGGGCAGGGGTCGTGAAGGACTGGGTGGTGGTCGTGGGAGGAAGTATCTCCTCTTCCTCAGTGCTGAACTTTTCACCCCGAATTCCTGCGCAGTCTCTGTCACCCCCTGGACCCGCAGAGCAGGTTTGTGCCGGTTGTGGGGTAATCTTCACTTACTCAGGGGTGGAGGAGGCTTTTTACTTAAACAGGAGATAGTGGTCAATCAACACAAACATCTTCACTTACTCAGGGGTGGAGGAGGTTTTTTACTTAAACAGGAGATAGTGGTCGAGCAACACAAACACCTCGTACAAGCTAAGCAAACTCTTATCTCGACTATTTCCCTGTCATCCCCTTCTTGCTATTCCCATATTAACCCTTACATCCCCTGTTCCTATCTAGGCCCTGTATCACCAGAAGAGAGAGAGAGAGAGAGCCCCTTCCCAACCACCTCTCCTCTATATAGTGACCATGACGTTCCACGATATGGAATATTTCATTGGTCAATTTGGGTCTGATGCTCTGTCTGTGCTCCCTCCCTGCTTCTTGTGCATGGACAGGACATAGGGAGTCAGAGAGTCCTTGAAATTTCAGTAGCAGCTGAAAACACCAGTGTGCTATCAGCTTTCTTCTCATACCAAATCCAATGCTAAATCCAAAACACAGCCCTATTCTAGTTCCCAAAAAGGAATATTAACTCTATTCTAGCCCAAACCAGGACACTATTGCAAGTACAACGTTTTAACAGATTGTTTGGTGTTGTTTCACCTTAATTTAACCCCAGGGGATTACAGAACCTTTACAACTACCTAGGCTTCCAGTCCAGGCTGTAACAGCAGCTCAAGCAGAAACTAGGTAAGATTCTTTGAGTTCCTGAGCAGAGAGGAAAGACCCTTGTCATTCTACTCTATCTCAGTAGCCTGATCCCATATGACCCATCTGCACCACAACAGTGCTGGACCAATGGGCCTAGGAAACCCTTGGAGATAGGAGAGAGAGTGGTCTCAGAGCCATGACTATCTTCTTGTAAATCGAGTTATAACAACCGAACAGCAGATAGTGACATGCTCCAAAGTCAGGGCCATCCCCTGTCATCATTCAATATGTTAGTAGAGACAGATGCCTTAATTATATGGATCCCGTCATCTCAATCTGTGTCACAGGAGAAAAATATTTAATGCTCCTACACTAACGAAGACAAAATTCTCATGTTTTCTTCCTATTTAAAGTAAAATCCATGTAGTCACAGTAGGTCTCCTACAATGTGGGTATAGAGGAAACTCCATGAAAGTGGTGTAGATACCACATATTCAGTCAATAAAGATGGGTAATCAGCTTCATCTTTCTCTATATTTGTATCTCTATTTGTAGATTTTCCTACATATGTAACACCTCGGCTACAAGATAATTCTATTCTTGCTTCACAGGTAGATTATTGCTCATATGTGAAACCTGAATTATAAAATAAGACTGTAACTGAGCTGGGTGATCCTATTCATGGGTGAGTATCTCAGTTGGTGGAAGTCAGTTAAGATACCAGCTCAGACATGAATTCTCAATTTGGTTTTCCAAATTTTCTCCATAAAAAATTTATTCTAGTTTTCTCTTTGATATCCAAAATGTTCTTACCCATATAAGTACTCCTGATCCTCATCCATGATACTCTGAAAAAGAAAGATCTCTAAAGTTTCTATTGTGGTCAATAGAGTCCATAACATACATTGTTCAGGAATCTTGTCTTTAAATCCAGGAGTTTTGCAATTAATTTCTTTAGGTCTAAAAGTAAAAATAAAAGTGTTGTGGTGACTGATCTGTCTTAGTAAAGATTCACAGAGAACAAATGTTCACTGTTTTAATGTAGAAACCAATGTATGTTTTAGAGTCATTCAAGCCAGGAAAATTAATAAAGAGGCAGAATTTGTAATTGCACACACATGGACAAGATGAATAATTGATCTGTATTTGTTTTGAACTCTCCTTAGATTTTATTAATACTTAGCTCCAGGAACAAGTAATTTTTCTGCCTGTAGTAAAGTCACCTTTACAGAAAAAAAAAAAAACCAAAAACATGTTTATAGTGCTAGTTTCTAAGTTCTCATATAACTGAGCAACATGGTTCAGACTCTACATCATATAACATTTTGACTTAATGAGGATGAAAAGATTAGTATTATGGAATAAGTTTTGCTTGGTAACATTTGTACAGTGAAGAGGAAATTATCCTTACCCTTTTTATGCAATGAGCATGAAGGCAAGATGTATGAATGGGTCAGCACTCAGTGAAAGACAGAGACTTTTCTCTCTGAAAAAGCTTTCACTACAGCTAAAGACGAGGGAGTTCAGTGTGACACTGTGAGGCCCATGCTTTATTATACTTGTCTGTATTTGAAAGAAGAAAAGCTTAGAATATATGGGTTTGTCTAGAAAAAAAAGAAAACTGAAGCATAGATAAGACAAAAGAACATGAGAAAAAAGATTGCCACAAAGGGGTAAACTTTTGCCTTTCCTCAGAACAGGAAAAAAAGTAACTGAACTGAGACACAGAACTGTTAGTGTAGATACTAGTTAAGAATAAAACCAAAATTTTTAATGAGACACGATTGAATCACTAAGCAAAATTTTTTTAATAGTTCTGGATGTTACAAAGGTAGCAATGAAAATGTTTTATGAAATGGATAGAAAAATATTTGCAAGAAAAAATGTACTTATTTAAAACTGCTTGATTATGCCTTCATCAAGAGATGGATTAGATGATAAGGTCCCTTCTAATTCTGTATTTAACAACAATTCTATCACAAATGGCAAGGGCAATATTGTTTCGGATTTTTTATTGATTGGTTTTTGCTTTTTTAGTTTTTTTTTTCATATCATGTTCAAGAAATACCTTTGGTTTTCATTTTGATTTTGTGTTTGTTTTTGTTTTTTTAAAGCTCATTTTTAAAGCTCATTTGTTCCTCATTTTAGTTAAGATATTTTCTCCCCCTCTCAATATCAGAACTTTGACTCAATTGATCTAAGCATAATCTCTTCAAACTGTTCTAACAGAATTGCTTGAATAGCAGTTTGACTCACAAAGTGTTTCATGGGGTGGGCCTGTGCATTTGGTTTCTTGGAGGAGTTGTGTGTGGGATTAGCATGTTCAAGATCTTAAGTCAGTGTTCTTGTTTTTCATGCCATAGAAAAGTTTTATCTCTATGAAGTTCCTCTAAGCTACCATCTGCATCAATCTCCTGTCACAGTCCTTGCATGTTGAAGTAGAAATATAAATCGGAAAATAAATTCTACTGTCTGTGATTTCATAAGGACTCAACTGAGGACAAAGTGCTTCTAATTCTGTAGTTGGGCACAGAAACATTGTATGTTTTTACTTATGTAAATAAGCCATCTTTTCTCTCCATAACCAATGTCTTTCCTTCCAAGGAAAAAATGCTCACAGAGTTGCTGTTCAGTACTCTCAAATAACACCATATTCACCAAAAAGCAGTAATTTGCTATATTATTTGAGTTCATTCCTGACAGAAGGTGAAGTGAGTATTGCCATTCGTATGGACAATGCTCAAATGCAGTATTCTATGCACCATCATTAATTTTTGCCCACTAACAATGTTCTGTAGTTATATTAACTTGAGTGTAAATTTCCATCCATTTTAACCTCACAAAAAAGCTAATGTCAGAAATACGCATTTCTCTATGTCTTCTTTGCTACAGACATTTTTATTTTCCTTAATAGATAGTGCATAGGCCACCACCACAGACATTGTATCAGCTAAGAGTAGTGTCCTGGGTTGAGTGAATGGTGGGGTTTTTTGGTGGCAGGGGAGGGGGCTATAGGGGTGGCCCCCTGTGAGAAGCTTCTCGAAGATCCCCCAGCTCCACGTCAGCTCCACTTCTGTTTGGGAAATTGAGCCAATCAGCTGCACCTCTGCGATAACGTATTTAAGAAGGGACGTGGTGACGGGCAGTCAGACTTGTGAGGAGGAGTCGCTGCAGCTGCATGAACACCAAGGTCAGTGGAGGAACTGAGGAAGAAAGGAGGGGGGAGGTGTGCCGGAGCAGAGACCCCCCCTGTATCCTGTGGTGAGACGGCAGGGTGGCCCCCCCCTGCCACCCATGAAGATCTATGGTGGAGCAGACATTGATTTATGGCCTGTGGCTTCTGCTTGCATGATCAAGGTGCTGTGTCCGAAGAAGGCCGGGGTCTCGTGGGAAAAGGTAGCCCCGCTGCTGTAATTCAGTGCTGGGAGGATTGCAGCATGTGGGGGTGTCCCACGCCGGAGCAGCTCGGGAAGGGCTGCAGCCGTGGGAGGGAATCCAGCCAGAGAAAGTTAGTGACCCATGACGGAGCAGTGTGGGGAACGCTGAGGCCCATGGGAGGAACTCATGTCGGAGAAAGTTTGTGGAGGACTGTCTCCTGTGAGAGGGGGACCACAATGGAGCAGAAGGAACAAGTTTCGGACACTCTCCTCACCGAAGATGAAGAAAGTGGCAGCACTGACTGCACCCCCCATTCCCTGCCCCTGCGCCACTGGGGGAGGAGGTAGAGATATCGGGAGCAGAGCTGAGCCCGGGAAGAAGGGAGGGGTGGGGGGAAGGTGTTCTCAAGATGTGGCAATGCTTCTCACTGTCCTACTCTGTTATGTGTCGTTAGTGTCTGTAATAAATGTATGCTCTTTTTTTCTTCCCCTAACGAGTCTGCCTTTTGCTCATGATCATAAAAGGGAGATTTTTCCCCATCCCAGTCCAATCTTGAACCCCAAGCCTGGCTCTCTGTCCCTTCTCATTGCCAGAGGGGAAGGGAGAGAGAGCTGCTGCATTGTGGTTGGCTGCCGATCAGGCCTAAACCACAACAAGTAGCTATAGCTCTATTCCAGCATGGCAACTCTTCTATTGCTGTGTCATCTATGTAAAAAATTATAACCTCAACTGAAAAAAAAACAAAACAAAACAAAAAAACAACCTAACAAAAGACCCTGTTCCATACAGAGGGCATCATTATAAAATGAAATTAGTAGGTAAAGACAGTGCTCAAGGTAGAATGTTAGTTTTTCTTTCTCTTTTGATTCCAAAAGTGATATATCAGAATGTGATAGTATGATTTTGCAGAAGAAATAGATGATAATGACTTCTAATTTAAGTGCTTATGAAAGCGTCACCAGTGCAATCACAGAAAATACAACCATGTCATTGGCAAAAGCATATCATTTACTTTAAAAACCATAAAATTGTACAGTTATTTCATTAAGTTTAACCTCAAGTCTCTCTGTGCACTAATTTAAAATCCTAAAGAAAGCACATGGTCTGCAGCACTAACTAAGGTATATTGTAACTGTAATCTGCATTTAAAAGTAGGCTTGGCTTTGCGTTTTTTCATTAACACTGTCAGAGCTATTCCACTTCTCTGAAATAATTCAATATGCACCTAACAATAAAAATAGTATATCCTAATACAAAAAACCTTCCCAATACAAATCTACTCAATCTCAAAATATTAAATTGTATTCTTTAAATCTGTGCAAGATAAGTGATGTTGCTCAAAATTGAGTCTTG